AAGGATGAAAAAGGTGAAAAAACATTAAAGTTGACGTCCTAAAATTGGCATTTAACCATCAATTTGAAACCTTTAAACAGTTGTGGGCCCCACCAATCGACCGGCTCAGAAGTCAGAATAGATATTCAAATCCCCGACGGTAGCGAACCGACGCCTCAGGATTCATTTTATTTATTTATTATTATTATTTTTTAAAGGAGAAATGAAGGAGAAAAACTTCATGGCATTTTGGTTTCTCAGCTCTCGATCTCATCTAGTTGCTTATACAACCTGAATCCGGCTGGTTCTTTTCGACGCCTTCAAACCTTAGCTCCGGCGACTCAGACGTGAACGCCTCCAACAGCTTTATCGTCTGGCCATGCGACTCTGGTTCTCTGCGATCTCCCTCTCGAGAGAGGACTCTTTTGGTTTGACTCAAGTTTCTGCTCGTTTTCAGATCTCTTCTTCTGGTTTTAGAAATGCGCAACGATTCTCATGGCCCTAGTTCCCGGGGTCTCCTCTGCAATGCCGGTGCCGGCGCTGCTGCCGGTATGTTCACATTTCATTTTTCCTCTCTTTATAATTGCTTAAATTTTTCTTCTTTTTCTTTGCCTGAAATTCGTTCAATTGAAAAGAAAGCATCTTGGAAGCTGGAAAATGCTTCAAGTTAAGTCGAAGTGGTGTTTTCGTTTGGATGGAATGTTGGGAATCTAAGAATAACGCGAAGTTTTCTCTTAAGCGTATTCAATATTGATTGTTTGACTTTGGGATGTTGGAAATCTAACAAATGACGCCATTTGTTCTTGTTAGCTTATTGATTGTTTGACTTTGGGATGTTGGAAATCTAAGAACAACGCCGTTTGTTCTTATGAGCTTATCGATTGTTTGACTTTTGGGCAATCCTAATTGTTCAGGTGTTATTGCTGCAACATTTGTGTGTCCTTTAGACGTTATAAAGACTAGATTGCAAGTACATGGGCTGCCAAAGCTTAATAATGGAAGTGTAAAAGGTAAGCCTGCCTGCTTAGCAATCTGCCTTACAAGGGGTCTTGCGAAAGACCTTGTTTTTCTTTCGTTTTGTCCTGTGTAAGCATGTGGCAGATACTTGGCACTATGTTGGGTGTGATTGACATGTGATTCATTAAAAGCTTTTCTGCTTGTCTTCCGTAAATGTTCTTGCTTCTTTTTGTTTGAATGTGTTGCCATTGAATTTATGTAGTAAAGTAGTAATATAGATATTTCCAGCTGGAAACATTGTAAGTCATGGAATTAGATGATTGAAGAGTTTTATTTTTGGTTTCCTCTCTTATTTGAACAGGTAGCCTTATAGTGGGTAGTTTGGAACAAATATTTCACAAAGAAGGTCTGCGAGGGATGTATCGTGGGCTAGCTCCCACTGTGCTGGCATTACTTCCTAACTGGGCTGTAAGTCATTTTCCCTTGAAGTTATTATTTCTATGCTTCCCCCGTTAACAAAGTCTTGAAGCAATATGCAAACTTTCTCATTTCTGTACTGAGAGGATAGAATTTATTAATTCCTTAGATCATTTAAAGTTCATTGTTGCTCATTTTTTTAATTTTTTTTCCTTTTAAATTCTTCCGACTTAGTTTTTTTTGGGGAATTTGGGAGGGGGGGAATTCTTTGCCATTCCACCCAAAAAAAAAAAGAGGAGAAAGGGGTTAGGATTTTCTTTGTTTTGGGTTTTTTTGGTTTTGAGGGGGGGGTTTTTTCTTTTGGGAATTTTTTGGTTTTCATTTGGTTTTTTTCCCTTGAAGTTGAAATTTTGACTTTTAATTGGGGGGAAAAAAAAAAAAATCACTAATGCTGGTTCAATTGCTAAAGTAAACCATCTAAACAAGCAATGGCCATGATAGGTGTTGTTTTTATTTGACTTAGTGATTTGAGCTAGATTAATAGAGTGAAACACCTTATATGATATAAAGCAGCAGATATTCTATCCACAGATTGGAATGAGCAGTGTGACAATTTGATTTGTTTCTCGTTCTTGCTTTCTTATTGCCCATTGTCCATCATACTGTTCATGGGATTTTTTCTAATTTTTCAAGATTTTATAATTGAAGTCCTCTGAGTTTGTGTTCATTTGTAAGTTAGACTGTGTGGGTGCCCATAAGTCCTCATTAAAAAAAAAAAAACCTGATGAGCTGGTTTACTATTGACCCATTGCATTAACTTTTGCAATGCAGGTTTATTTTACAATGTATGAGCAGCTGAAAAGCTTTCTTTGTTCCAATGGTTAGTTTATCCAATATTACATTCAACCTTAGATTTAACATTGATCAATCATTTCCTCTTAGTTTTTTCTGCTGGGTCATCACATTGTTTCTTCTTTTCATCTCTTGACATATAACCATTAATGGGTGTCATGTAGATGAGAATCATCATCTGTCAGTAGGTGCTAACATGATGGCTGCTGCTGGTGCTGGAGCTGCAACAACAATTGCCACAAATCCTCTTTGGGTTGTGAAGACAAGACTTCAAGTGTGTATCTCAAGTTCCAATTTTGTCTTTGTAAATCAGTAAAATGACATGCTACATCTAGTTTGAACTTTCATAGGCATGTCTTGCAACAACAGTGTTTGACTATTAGTAGCTTCACTGAAAGTTTCAAGTCATTTTGGGTGATAATAAACCATTCAGATTATAGCTTAGATTCAGGATATTGAGATCCCTATTAAAATTTAGTTATCATTAGTGATCATATCCTTCTGTCCACCCCTCATTCTAATTCCAGGAGAAAAGAAAAATTGGGGAAATCCACCTGAATGGCAACTGAAAACCCTCTAGTAAGCAAGATAAAAAATCAAGAGAGGAAATTGATAGAAGGAAGAAGGTTAGATGGTATAGGAACAAGCTAGAAAAAGATCAATACCTGCATCAAATGGAAAGAAGCATGATTAGTATTACAAAGTCAACAATGTGGGGCGTAACCATATGTGAAAGATTTCATTGGTTAAATTTGTATTTAGGATCTTGTACAAATGGACTGTTTGGTTTGGAAAAAAGTAGCATCTGGAGGTGCTGTTGGTTTGTCCATTTACCTTTCTTGCTTTTCCTTGTGCAGACTCAAGGAATGAGAGCAGGAGTGGTGCCCTATGGGAGAGCAGGAGTGGTGCCCTATGGAAGCACACTATCTGCTTTGAGGAGAATAGCTCATGAGGAGGGGATCCGAGGCCTATACAGGTTTTGCATTACCTTTCATTTTTATGAGATTATGATAACTTGGTACCTATGGGGAAAGACTGATTTCTGATGTCTGATGGTATTTTGCATGTGAATAGTGGTCTTGTGCCTGCATTAGCTGGTATCAGTCATGTTGCCATTCAGTTTCCAACATATGAGAAGATCAAATTGTATTTAGCTGATAAAGGTAGTTATAACTTATATGCATTTATAGTCTTATATAATTTTCTTGAATATATTTTAAACTTAATTTGTTCATGTCAGATAATACTACAATGGATAAACTCAGTGCACGTGATGTTGCAGTTGCCTCATCAGTTTCCAAAATCTTTGCATCCACATTAACCTACCCACATGAGGTAAGAATTTGATGTGGAATGGGTTTTACGAGCATCTCTTATTTAACTAAAATGGAATTAAATTTCAATTTGGATTTGCACTGGAAGATTGGTGTCCTGTTGTCAGTCCCTTATCTTAACTTCTTGGAGTAGTTGTAGAATTCCTTTGTCATTTTTACTTAAATTTTTTCCATCATGGTTCAGCTAAGAAATAATTATAGATGTTCACCTGGTATGCTGATATTATTGATTACATTGTGGTTAATTCTTGCGTGATATAGGTGGTGCGCTCAAGACTACAAGAACAGGGCCACCACTCGGAGAAGCGCTATGCTGGTGTAGTTGATTGCATCAGTAAAGTATTTCAGCAAGAAGGCATTACTGGTTTCTATCGTGGGTGTGCAACCAACCTATTTAGGACCACACCAGCTGCTGTGATCACATTCACCAGTTTTGAGATGATTCATCGATTTCTTCTCACTCTTCACGATCAACAGCCTCACACATTGTGAGAATAGTTTTGAAAGAGAATATAGCACTCACACTCTTGCATCTGGAACTAAAAAACAGCCAGCCTTAGATTCCTGGGTAGAGATACAGTTTCAAAACTGTTTGTATTTTATTTGTTCTGGTAGGTTTTAGTGGCATTCATCAAACTATGTACGATCAATAGGTGTGATGATGTTTTATACTGCCGATGATAATGACAAAAATGGTGCACTAAATTCGAATGATTACATTCTTTAAGAGTTCCTGGAATGATCAAATTTTTTCACTCTTGTTCACTGTGAATTTCACCTTATTGATTTCCTTGTTCCCTTTGGTTGTCTTTCTAGCATCAACAAAGAACATCAAACCATCAGGGTGTTCATAACGGCTATGGATATGGCAACCATACAATTTGTTAAAGCTA